ATTTGTCTGCCGTTTTACAAGCTTATATGACAGGCTTCGATTCTCGGGTAGGAGATTTGGGATTCTTCTCATAATATCTGCCTTAAACTAATCTGCTTTACACCAAAACTCCTATGTTATGTGTAAGACGTTTTTCCCAGAGATAAACGAGAAGTACTGGGAAGAATTAATCCAATACTTTCCTTGATACTACACGGACCGCATAGAAAACAACGTAACCAACAATTATTCTGTTGCGTGTGGATTCGTTACCACGGTAACGTTTCTACCAAGTCATTGCCTAGCAACGATAGGGGGACACATATATACGTCGTAGACACAACCTTATGGAGCCGATTTAAAAAGTACGCCGTTGAGATGGGCTCAGGTGCCATGATATACATACTAATCTCCTTTCGATTCTGGTTTGGTTTGGTCATTTGATAGGGCGGATTGAGAGAGACAGCACGGCCATCGCATAAGCCTACTTTTATTCTTTCAAAATAAGGAATGTAGTCTAAAAGTAAATAAATAAAGGTAGGAAGAAAAATCAAGATTGGCCGGTGCATGAATTTGATCTGCAATTTCCGTCAAGTGACAAAGTTAAAAATAACATGAAGAATGCCGTTTTTTTTGGGATGTGTTAACAGACGTTTCGGAGAAACGTCGGTTAACAAAATAACTACACGTTGCCACATCCCAGAAGATGGCATTCTTCATAGTCACCGCCGTGAAAATCTCAAAACTCAGAAATAACATGACTTCCACCCCCATGATCTCAACTTGCCTCCATACTGTAACGCTTTGCTGTGGAGATATCTCTTGGCTCATTAAGCATTTCAGGCGCCTGTCAGTCGGATACCTACTTATTTTGAAGATCTTTGTATCGGCAGTGGGGTTTACGTATAACAGTTCGAAGATTCCTTCCGAGAAACACAGAAGCGCATAAACCGAGCACCTCTATCTTGATTCTAAGTCACGTGTTCCGTCGATACATGTCATTTTTTCCCCTTTCTGAACAACCCACTAGGGAGCTTCACTGCATTCCCCTAGTGGTAACAGGTGGGTGACGGGACTACAGTGCGTTCCCAAATATGGTCGCATGCAACCGCGCGTCAGCTAATTTTAGAGGGCGTTAATTTCTGTAGCCAGTTGAGTCCACTTCAAAACTTCACAGACTATAACTCCAAAGTAATCATTATTTTTAAGCTGACACTCACCCCACATGTAATGATATTCCTAGCCATTAATGGAACCCTATACTTAATTATTTTCTTCAAAGAGCCTGATATTGGTCGTTACCCGAACCAAACAAATCAAGTATATATTCTCATATCCTATCTAAGTTAAAATTTAATAGCATCGCCTCACCCTTGCCAAGTTCTACTAAGTGGTCTTTTATCCTGATAATTTCCAATTAAACTTCTGGATATATTTCTCACCTATTCCATGAGTACCACATGTCTCGCAAATTTCTCCCTCTTGTTTTAAACGTCTTAACAAAATCAGGTGGACAGTTTTTCACATAGGGTTCATTTCTCTGTTGGTTCATATTTGTTAGGTTCAAATATTTCAATATATAAGGCAAAGATATATTAAGAATAATTAGCCGTGGTGAAATACTATTAAACTGACACTTGCGTTAAAATGTGTGCGTGTGTGTGTGTATATATATATAAATATATATATATATATAAATGCAACTATATATTTCGACCAATTTTGGTCGTCTTCAAGTGGTGCATGTTTA